AGTTTAGTTTCATGCCGCTTTTAGCAATATTCCAGCAATACCATGGCAGGGGACACCAGAAATGGGCTTCACACATTGTACCCATGTGGAGTGAGTGAGTGAGTGAGTTTAGTTTCATGCCGCTTTTAACAATATTCCAGCAATGTCATGGCAGGGGACACCAAAAAATGGGCTTCACACATTGTACCCATGTGGAGTGAGTGAGTGAGTTTAGTTTCATGCCGCTTTTAGCAATATGCCAGCAATATCATGGCAGGGGACACCAGAAATGGGCTTCACACATTGTACCTATGTGGAGTGAGTGAGTGAGTTTAGTTTCATGTCACTTTTAACAATATTCCAGCAATGTCATGGCAGGGGACACCAGAAATGGGCTTCACACATTGTACCCACATGCATGTGGGGAATGGAAACCAGGTCTTTGGCGTGACATGCGAACTCTTTAACCACTACGCTACCCCATCGCCCCGCCTAAAGATGAACCAGTGTTAGCAGAAAAAACGGATTGACATAAATTGTGTATGTATTAATTAATTAAGCAAACCAAATTTGGTTGGTATATAGTGAACATCATAGATTTATCCAGGATTTTAAAATTATCTTGTTCAACATCAGGATTTTTAAAATGTTCGAATTTCTAAAATTCTTAAACACTGATTAATAAAGGTGTCTCCAATACAGTGATGATCAAATAAGCATCAAAACCTCTTCCTTTTTATTAATGAAAAACAGGTTATCCCTGGAGAGCATAAAATTATTTAACAAGCTACTTTTTGTTTCTACCACCATGAATTTGGAAACCATGTAATTTAAATTGTGATTTTATTTTAACGCTGGGCTGAGCAGGTGTAAATCAACCCCTGTACATCCTCATTAATCAACCCTGAGGTACTACAAACAGAGAGAATTGGGACCTTCTCTGACCTATAATATCTGCAGAATAAAATACCTCACACCAACATGTGAAGCAGTCAGTAGAAGGGAGGTAACTCTGTATTTATAGTACGAAATACTGTTTGGAGTTGACAAGAGGACAAGCGTACTCGCACACACATACAGCGCCAAATATATGCCTGTTTTTGTTATTTGCTCGATCAGTACTGACGGGCATAGAACCAAGAGGCCTTGTCTGTCTCACAGTCCCTGAACAATATTATTTTCCCTACTGCCTAGCCCTCCCTGCAATGCTTTAGCCTTAAATGAGCATCAATCGACACAACTGGGATACCATGACATATGTCAACCAAGTCAGCGAGCCTAACCACCCAATCCCGCTACTCGCCACTTACAAGCATAGGTTGCCAAAGACCAATTCCTCCCCAGATCTCCATGGGTCTCACACCCTCAGGAATAGAGATATCAATGTAAGTTTAGGGGAAATTGAAAATATTTGTCACTTGACACTAAGTATAGTGCTGCAGTCCTAATCAAGACTCTTTTCCTACCACTGTCCCTGATTATTAAAGAAATGTGCAACACCTACATTACAATTATGATAGCTATCAGACATGAATATGCGAAGAGAATTGTTCATTTTCAACACAGGAAGAAGTTTTTAGCAAGTCTTTTCTTTTTTTCAACTAAGCTTATTGTCTTTGAAAATGTAGATAAAAGTGCAGAGATAAATTTAATATAACAATTGCTTGGTTAAAAAGCATGTTCATATTTAGGCTTCTGCCATGAAAATATCATCTCATTTTGTTTACTTTTTAGACTACCGTATCCGGTATGAGAAATCTAATCCTTACAAGGCCTCTCTGACAAAAAACGGTATTTGCAAACCATTTGAACATGTTGATTGTTTTTAACATTTCCACACTCAAATCTTTGTAACATGTGCCATATTAGCAATTAAATCACAAATCTATATTGAATAAATAACATGATTTTGACCGTGAGGTTGGGTTTGACTAAACTTAGTTATTGACATGAAACAGCTGTCGTCAGCCTGGAAGTGTGTTTATCGTTATCTGTCATGTACATCAAAGAAACAGGGTACGATTTGTGTGCCTTCATGTAAGTCCAATTACGGTTTAAACAATTTCAAACACAAACATAACTTCAATCCATTAACGTGATTTTATCAAAAATGCTTTTCTGATATGAATCAAATTTCTGAATAAAGAAATAAGCGGAAAGGATACTTGCATTGAACACCATTTGTGAGACATAGCGGGGAGGTTCAGACGCCATTGTGGAAATTGTGTATCTTCCGAGACACCATACAAGTAAGATTAAAACTGACAATCCTTCACACTTGGGATAGTCTGTGTCATCAGACCATGTTGACAAACAATCCTTGAAAAGTATATGACATCAATGAGAGGACATAAAGTTTCCTGTTTCGTGCATCACCCCTAAATGAGGCACATAGAATCTTCTTTTTGAAACAACGGACCAGTCTATTGTTATTTGAAGGGTTGATCGCATTGGTGTGAAAATAGGTTCCACAAACATTGGAATTTGAAATCAAGGAAACTGTCAACAGTTGAAATGGAGCACTTTGAGTTCATAATCTCTTCCTCTCACAGTAAATGGCATTTCCGTGTTCAAGTTAACTTCCTGTGCTATGGCTGGTCTGGCTTCAAGTGAACTTCTGCCTAATGAAACTGTGCTCCAGCTCTCTATGTATAGTACGAGACTTATTAATTCCGTTTTCATATTCCACAATGTAAACATTTAACAAACAAAAAATTTCAACTTTCACAACAGCTCTCACATCCTTGTATTGAAGTATTATGCATACGATCTATTAAAGATGTGTGTACCATTTATTAAAATGAACATGAAACTGTATATAAACAGTCATGTATTCACATTTTTACTGAGTCCTATTTAAACCCAAAATGCAGGAAATAAAATTATAGACCTGTTTCCTATCATCATTTGACAATGAGTTGTGTGAAACTGAAACAATTTCTCAAAAACTGCTACATGTCAAAGCATTTTATTGACTATTATGACTAACATAATTACTGATATTCTTATTTTTATTTAAAGACATGAAAAAAAAGCTGTAGTGATGACCAGGATGGTCTTATGAAGGAGTGCAAATCAACATCACTTCATACTTTTTAAACTTTAGAATTTATACAAACCAATTCACTAGCTTCAATCGTAAAAGAGTGTCAAATCGTGAAAATTTAAAAATAAAAGTTTCTACTTCATTAAACATTTCAGATGAGTGAGTGAGTGGGTATGATTTTACGCCGCTTTTAGCAATATTCCAGCAATATCACGGCGGGGAACACCAGAAATGGGCTTCACACATTGTACCCATGTGGGGACTCGAACCGGGTCTCCAGCATGATGAGCAGACACTTTAATCATTAGGCTACCCCGCCGCCCCCATTGTAGATGGCAAAGAGTAACATTTTCATTATAATGACAAGAGAACACATCAGCTGATCCTGGCACAGCAACAAAGGGATGCAACTATTAAAAGACAATTACTCCTATGAAAACAGGGAACCCGTAACTGCCTCTTACGACAAGCATGGGTTGCTGAAGACCAATTCTAACCCGGATCTTCCTGGCTCTTATATGATGAAGGAACACTTATTCTTTTTTGAGATACAACACATATGTCTGACGAACAGGATTTACAGTGATGCAACAGTGCCTGAGAGACAGTTCCTCATTTTCAGCCTAAAGCAATGTGTCATCACCAGAAGCTATGAAATATTGCATTGTATTCCCACTCTCAACACAAGGATGCAAAAACAGCCACTTCATGAAGCATAAATTAGTTCCTGGGCTTTATACTACAAACAAAACAGGATTCAATTCCCATGAAGCTGTTTTGTTTGTTTGTTTATTTATGTGACATATTCCTGTTATATGACTGTGATCCGTAGGTTATCAAATCTTGACCAGACAATCCAGTGATTGTCTCGATGAGCATTAGTAAACATGCACTACCAAGTCAGCGATCCTGACAGATGCCACAAGGGTTGCTGAAGACCAATATTTACCTGGATATTCTGGCGGTGGTTATCACTATGATATATTAACATACTTATCAGCTTTTAAAAGTACTAAATTCCCACACCCATTGCAATATTCCGATAGCTTCAACATTTTTAACCCACTCAATGGATACATATGTGCTCAAATATCATTTTCAACATCCTGGGGCATAAAAGGAGAAGGTGCGTTTGACTGACTGACTGAGTTTGGCTTTACCCCGCTTTTAGCAATATTCCAGCAACATCACGGCGGGGGAACACCAGAAATGGGCTTCACACGTTGTACCCATGTGGGGATTCGAACCCGGGTCTTCGGCGTGACGAGCCAACGCTTTAACCACTAGACTACCCAACCGCCCCAGGTGCATTTGAAGAGGGACAACCATGAATGAACAAGATTATAAAACAAGGAGAGAAAATGTCCTACATATTTTTAAGAGAATAGATGAATGTCATGGAGGAAAGGCACTAAATTTATCTACAAAAATTAATACTGATCCCTCTCATGTTTTACATGAATGTTTTGAACTTTACCCTCTGGCCGTCGGTATAATGTACCAAGGTGCAAATGCAAGCATTATAAAATGTCTTTTATACCATTATCAATTCTTTGTTGAATAACCGTTAATGTTCTCCATTCTCATGCTCTTGTACATTTGTATATAATTATGATCATGTTTTTATGTATTTATTTGATTTAAATGTATTTATGCTCATTCAGATGTAAGATAAATTCCCTCACGGGCAATAAAGAATTATCTTATCTTATCCATGTATGTGCTTGGTGAGTTACCACATTAACTGACTGGCTTCACCACAATTCCATCTCTCTTCACACTGCAGCTCAAAAAAAACTGTTCAAAAGGTCAGACTTCACAAATTGTGCTAAGGTGACCTTTGCAGCCATGCACCACATGCACCAGGAGCAAAAACTCTCATCACTTCGCTTTCCTTCCTTCCGAGGTTGTACATACATGTATATAGGAAAGAAGACTTCTAAAACTCCACATATGAAAGTATGACAACACTCACCCCTGCGTAATCTGGGTTATATCCTTGTCCGTCCAAAGTTCCTTGTCCGCCTCCAAAATAGCGTGCTTTGTCTGGGGATTCTTGATAGAAGGCATTGTTCTGCTCAGCGGGGTCAGCGTAGTGGACGTAGTACTGGCAGATGTGGGTGTATGTGTCGCCATCTTTGTTGGGATCGTTGCCGTACACCTCAATACCATATTCGCCCTTGGATGGGAGGTCAGCCGTCACCAAAATCTTGTCGCCTTGGTCGTCATCTCGAATACACGCTTCAAGGTCTTCCTCACGAACTCCGTTCTTCCTCAGCTTGGCCAGGAGGAAAGCCGGGCGGGTCTTCTTGAACTCCAGGTTCACCCTTCCATCGGTTGTTGGGATGATGCCCTGGGGTGGAGTGGCGACGATGCCGAGTTGGTCAACGGCGACACCTGGACCCCAGCAGCTGTCGGAGCAGTTGGGGAGGGGCTTCGCGTCGTTGGAAGCAGTGTCGGCGATGACCTTGTACTCAGCTGAAGCTGTGAAGACGTTCTTGACACCGAGTTCCCCGGTCAGGAGTTGAGCGAAGATTGTGAAGTAATACTGGCCCGATTTGGGAGCCCTGAAGATGAAAGTAGTTGTCTGGTTCTTGCCGTGCTCCTGGAGGGCGAAGTTCTTCAGCTTCTGGCCCTGGTAGGTCTCATCGTTGGAATCAGAAAAGACGATCTTGTAGGTGAAGTTTGTAGGTTTCGAGAAGCCAACAGTGATGGCGATCTTCCCCTTCTTCGTCTCGACTACACCAACATGGTGAGAGATGAAGAACATCCCGCATTTGAAGAAGTAGGACTTGACCAGCGGCAGGTTCTCAAAGTCCTGCAGGACAATGGGGGCGGTCAGCAACTGCCATTCGGACTTGTGAGCCCAGTGGCTGTAGATGAGCTGCTCGGGGTCAGTCAGGAAGTAGAAGTCATCGTACTCATACACCTGAAAGTACATGTCAGAATATGTCTGTATAGTGGTTCAGAAGGACATAACATGGCCTTAAACAATACTTAGGTCATATCACTGTTAGGAATCAAACTTAGTCAATCGAACCTTTGTTAATGGAGTGTGAGAGTTTACTTTTACGCTGCTTTTAGCAATAATATAGCAATATCACGGCGGGGGACACTGGAAAAGGTGTGTCAAACCCAGGTCTAAGCCCTCATGAGCGAATGCTTTAACTCTTTCAACATCAGTCAACCAGAGGCATTTACTACCATGACACCAAGTTCCCAGAGACTCTGAGGTCATAGATGAAGCCTATGTTTATCAATGAAAATATCAGCTCGTAAATCATTATTACTACATATCATACACCATTTGAAAGGTCTAATCCTACTGTTTATAAATATGAAAGTTATTTTTTATCATATTATTCAAGTAATACGACTAAAACTTAATTAAGTTAATTTTTAATGAAAATGCAAGCTTACACATTTATATGTCCAGATAAACCACGAAGGAAGCAAAAAATGAGGCGATTATTTTTCCATTTGTGACATGTCATAACATGCCCGTGCCTTTTTCGTTTATATTTTCATTTTTACATAATCAGAAAATTATTATAAAAAGATTTCTTAAATAATATGTATGGTCGCCTATTTCCCGATATCAGTGGCTTTCCGCTCGGTAACATGACACAACAACGGAAAATACCACCATTTTCGAAGCTTTGTATGAATAACATGCGAGGCGAATCGTTTGATGTCGGGTATCGTTCGAAAGCTCTGAACATCAACAATATCACTGTACCCTTGCCGAGAGTATTTTCACAGTTGTAAGAAGCGATTTTATTGGATAAAGACTGGTTTCTAGTCTGCTATAAGGGTTGTGATTGGTCAAAATCAGACACGTGACCTAAGGCAGCCAATCAGATAACAGCAATGGATACTGTCATCGTAAACGAACCTGCAGGTTCAGACGAAAGTTTTGGGTAAAATCATGCTATTCTGAACGTGTTACGCAAAAAATCACCACCTATTATGGAACTTAGTGGACATATCGTGCTAGGTTATGACCTGTGACAAGAAAGTTTAATGCATATATTTCAGCATTAAACATCGTGTCCGAGCATAAAGTTCGAAGCGACGAAAGCCGAGATGTCACTTGAATTACATTACACGATCGCACAATAAAGATGGACATAGTAAGTTGTAACGTTCATTTGACAACTTTTATGAGTACTGTTGTTGATTTTATTCTTCCGTTTATTCAATTTGTGTAATTATTATCTCGAAACATCGTTACTTTGCTCTTTGACAACTCTGATGTGGACACGTTGCCGAAGCATGTGTCCGAGAATCGTTTTTTTCAATAACATTGCGAAGAATAGTTTATAATTCTAATTCTGTTGATTATATATGGCCATTTGAAATGTGATAAGTGTTTTCAGGCATTATGAAAAGTGACAGATTTGATAAATGAATCATATGTTAGTTAGGTTCCTAAAATTATATACCATTTTGATGCGACTACTGCCCAGGCCGGTTTTCCGGCCTACGGTGTCTGGGGACTGGTGACGTCTTGGCGGTTTTCCGGCCTACGGTGTTGAATGGGTTAACCACTAGGCTACCCCATTGCCCCCTGATCATACGGACTCACCCAGCTGTGCAAGCCTCAAATCAATAATGCCTGAATTATCTCCCTTTGACCACAACTCGGCCATCTTAATTAGGACTTAAGTGAAGCAGTCAAATTCACAAATTCCTTTGTGTCCTGACACTGAGTCTCTGTACTTACCAGATTTTCTGGAGCGTTCTTCTCAGAGGTGAGGTACCTTGTAGCCCAGTGGGAGTCTACCAGATACCAGTTGCCGTCGATGAGGATTCCGTTCCAGCTGTGGTTGTAGTCGTTGCCCTTGAATTTATCGCCGGGGCGGTAGTCTAGGCCCTTTGCATAACCGGTCAACACAACAGACTGCACGCCAGAGAACCTAAAACAGACAAGGGCAAACCATGGTCAAAGATTCTCACATATATGGACACAGCATTGCATATTGGACCCATTTTCTCAAGGGATATAAGGCTCTCACACGTCTCTTACATGTGTCAACCAAGTCAGCGAGCCTGACCACCCGATCCCGTTAGTTGCCTCTTACAACAAGCATGGGTTACTGAAGATCAATTCTAACCCGGACCTTCACAGGTCTCACACAGGTACATCAATGTTTACAGGAATCAGTGAAATACATTCACCTTACTGACTTACATATCTCAGTTACCAAAATGCATAACAAAAATGGCAAACCAACAGAATTATTTCCCTTCACCCAATGAAATTCAAATACACATTAGTTCATTTCAGAAACTGAGCAGTGAGAAGAGTTCAACTGACAAAAATATACTGGCAAACAAGGATAAGTTGGACCGGCAGCAGAGAACATGTTTACAAGAAGTAGACAGTGCACGGCAGTGAGCAAACCCATTTAGTTTGTGGAAGGGAGAGCAGATGTAGGCAAGTGCACGTGCAGTGCATGACGATGAAATTGATTTTGCGCGTAGCTGCACACACCTTGCTCATAAGACTCTCACATGGTCGGTGTAGCAACTGCACTTGATCGCGGACAACCTGGGGCCCTTCGCTCTCAATGGCAAGCACCAGTGGGCGGCACTCATACATGCCAATACGGGTCAATTGTCAGGTCGGTGCTCAACTTATCCTTGTTTGCCAGTAGATGTTTGTCCCTTAACCAAGGATCTTGATGTTGGGTTAAATAAACACTGCTTTTCACTCAAATCCTTCTGACAGACTTACAGTTCTTGACTACCAGCCCCTGATCCAAAGTAATTGAATGACTTAAAATTTTAACAGCATTTCTGTTACCTCACTGTTGTTTTATATATTGTGATCTGCAGGCTTTAGCTGTTCTCTAACAAACAAGAATACATCTCTCAGGGAGGTTTCTTACCTGCACATAGTCTCGAAGATCCTGGCATACGTCCCTTGCTTGTTCTTGAAAGACAGAATGACTTCTTCGGGGCTGCCGGCACGGACATTCTCACGGAAGGTGATTGTGTACATGTTCTTGGAGGTCATCCAGCGGAAAATAACTCTGAAATATAACAAGGATGGCTATAGCTACGTATCACATGTACATTTTATCAACAAGGTATTATCATGTGGTTGCAGGATAGACAGAGAGTAATGAAAGAACTGGAGGTAGATTAGACTGGCACTTCGTCTCTGAATATATATAATTTTGATAGAAACAAACAATTCCTTTTCAACTAAAAAGGAGCTTCAGTGAGAAGGGAGATTGCAGAATCTGAGGAAATCTAGGCTTGCTTCTTTTAGGACTTGAGCATTGCAGAAAGCGTTGCGGTTTAGGGACTATGCAACTAGATGTGGTTGAGACTGACCTGGCCTTGTCGAGGTCGGAGTGATAGTTCTGGCTGTACACCAGGTGCCAGATGAGGTCCAGGAAGTTGTCATGGTCCTGCTGGGCGACCTGCACACAAACAAAGACACATTCACAGAACTGTCATCCTCAGTGAGTGAGTGAGTGAGTTTAAATTTATTGTCACATCGGCAATATTTCAGCCATATCGTGACGAGAACAATTAATTGGTATACATAGTAATTAATAGTAAATTATAAAAACCTGTCTACAAAGGACAGTAAAATAACTAGATTATCACCGAGACGAATTTAAAACTAGTAATTAAATCTTAAACAGTTTAACCATAGATGACAATACAATATAAAAACGGGCTACAGATTGTCAACAACTGAAGGTAGATCACCATACTAGGGACCATGGGGACTTACAGTACATTTGCTTCCTGCATGGACCCTAGCTGGATTTACACCATCCCTTCAGCCGTTAGCAATTTAGCAAACCTAGCCATACATTAAAAGAAAACAGGTATGCTACAATTAAAAAAGTTCATCCCCAGGATTGGAGATTAAAACGACAAAATATGATAATAATTCTGTCAACCTCACCCACCTTCCATTAAAGTTGTGACCTTCATATTGTTTATCACCTTTGAATCAATTCTCTGCACTTAGTAGTACTTTAGTTCTTTTATTTCAAATATTTTTGGACCAAAAGAGAATATGTAATCAAAACCTCATATTGGGAGTTGGAGGCTTTTATGTTGTATTTGTAGGTTCACAGAGTTTGTTTTATTTGTAAATACTTTCAACATTATTTGTCTCGGTAATATGCAAGCACATGTGTGTGTGTGTGTGTTTCTGCAGTCTGTTATGCCAATATTATATTGCTAGCCCACTGAGATACTATGCCACAATTTCATAAGGTTACCCTACCCAGATACAGTAGACTGACTATGAGCCAGCAAATCCATGTTTTATCCCCAAGCATCAGGCAGGGAAACAAAAAGTAACATTTTGTGTGTTTCAGTATGACACAGGTTGGGGAAACAACCGATGTTTAGCTCTCCTGACAGACACTATCCATTTCACCACAGAGGTGAGATACAACATGAGGTGTTACCATAGGAACATGTAAGTATAAGGTGTTCCCAGGATGTACCTGCTACCATCCCAATATCACAATTTCCGTAAGTACTTCTGAAATATCATTCAGTCACCTGACATTTAGCCAAATGCCACATACTGGCCCACATGGTTTAACGAACAGAACTTATCTCTTCTGAATACGTTTATCAGGGGGTCGATTTAAGAGATGTTAACCTACTTGCACCAGGTGCAACCTAAGATAAAAACCTAGTTGCACCTGCCAAATTCCAGTTGCACTGCTTTTATTGCAATATGTAACGAAAGAACTATGCTATTGAATTATTAAGATGTTTTATTGAGAAGTTTACCCACTCAGAAATTGACCTGCACCTTGTGCAAGTTAGAATAATAACTACATTGCACGTTGTAATATTGGGTTGCACCAGTGCAAGTAACAAAGCACTAAATCGAGCCCTGATTTATCAAAAAATTATTCACAGTATCAAATCTAATCAGTTCACCTGTAAGGTAATCAGGGTTTTTCCTGTCATGTCTATTACCTGTGATTAATGTGACGTACGCCTATCACTTGGATTACCTACTTTATCAGATATGATTCTAGGCAAGAATATATAGCCCAAGTACATATGCTCAAAGAATTGTGTAGTAAGGCTTGGTTGATTGCAATCATCATATTCGAACTGCAAGGATCAATGTATATCACTGGATTGTCTGGTTCAGACTCAATTATATATAGACCACTGTCAAATACCTGGAATACTTCAGAGTGCTGCATTAAACACAAACTATAGAATGTACTCGTCCTACTTGTGTTTATGGCTCGTTAAGGGAAGCCTCATGCATGATTGACACTACTGCTTCCTACAGGTAGAAGGGTAAACAACTCTAAAAGTGGAAGCATGTTTGTGTGGGATTGTGTTATGGAAGCGATGTGCTTGTTGGAAAAATGTTGTTAAAACAGGATCTAGGGAACTTTCTTGGCTTTTGAAGGTTAAGAAGGCTTCTCTATGGAAACATCTTTTTCTCTCAGTATCCAAAGACAAAGGTTAGGACAAGACATTGTCAGCTTTTTAAAAAAAAACAAGTTATTAACACAACATTATTATCCCCATGAGTCTAAAACTGAAGAATGAATGCTCACAACAAAATGATTGTTTGAAACAATTAAACCTAGTTTGTGCCATTCAGCAGACATGCAGTGCATTATCGTAAAGGTCATGACAGGTCAGAGTGACACTGCAAGTTCGTCATCACATGCTGGTTAGCTTGTAGATTTGTATGGCTACAGATAATCATACTTCAATATTTCGTAAAACTATGAAACAGAAATCTTATCAATTTAATTTTTACGTTATATGCTGTATTTTAAGTTGCAAATATATCTGGCAAATACTACCTCTGGAAAATCAAATAAAAAATATATAACCAGACTTTACATGAAGTTAAAATTTTTGATGAATAAAAACATTTCCCTGTTATTATTCACCAATAATACCTCATTTCATCCCTGTAATCAAATATAGATTTTCTGCTCATCTCAAAAATAGCTGAAATGACACAATCTAGTAGCCCAATGAGCCATAACACTAAATGCTCCATCTAACTGTCCGGCCTACTGCACTGCTATTGGCAGCCTGGCTGTAGAGCACCGAGTTGCATCTGTAGGTTACCTGAATAGCATGGTTGTCGATCTGAAAGAACTGCTGTACGTCTCTGTAAAGGTCAAACTTCCGGTAGCGGGACCGGCATGGCGGAGGGGGCTGGTACTGCTGGCTACGAACATCCAGCGGCTGGAAGCTGGGGGGAGCTTTGATCTGCATGATCCCTGCCTACTCACGGCTGAAAACAAGAACATTTAGATTAGATGGTGGTGAAAGTTTGAAACTGTACAATTAAAAACATAGCGGGTTGATTCATGGGTTGTATTGATGGGTACCCGGTGGGATGATGAAAGTTTATGAGAGCCTGAAATTGCCGCGGATTGTAGTATTTGTTTAGGTGATATTACATTGAAACTGTTGTGAGAGCATCAATTGTTCACCTGTAATCTAACCAGATTTGGAACAGAAAAACTGAAGGACAAAAGCATGAACACCAAATGTTCACTGGTAATCTCACTATATTGGGATCAGAAAAACTGAAGGTAAATAGCATGAACATCAAATGTCTCTTTGGATCAGAAAAACTGAAGGTGAACAGCATGAACATCAAATATTCACTTGTAATCTCACCAGCAGATCAACCAGGTCTTGATCAAGTAATCAGTTACCACCAGACTTGATTATTTACAGACTGCCCCATATAGATGGAATATTGCTGAGTGTGGCGTTAAACTGACTGACTGAGTTTGGTTTTACGCCGCTTTTAGCAATATTCCAGCAACATCACGGAGGGGGACACCAGAAATGGGCTTCACACATTGTGCCCATGTGGGGATTCGAACCCGGGTCTTCGGCGTGACGAGCGAACGCTTTAACCACTAGGCTACCCCACCGCCCTGTGGCGTTAAACAACAAACCAACCAACCAAGTTATTAGTTATTCAACAACATCCTATACTGTCATGTATGTTCACACACCCAGAGCTACAGATAACTTTATGGGTCATTGAGTTATGTACTCTCTTGTGCTCATCTCAATTGGGAACACATGTCATCGGTTCCCAATTGTGCAGATCGATGCTCATGCTGTTGATCACTGGATTGTCTGGTCCAGACTCGATTATTTACAGACCGCCGCCATATAGCTGGAATATTGCTGAGTGGGGTGTAAAACTAAACTCACTCAATTGGGTATCCTAAGTTTCCTTTGAGTAACCAAATAAACTGTACCCCCCTCACTCAAACTCAATTGGGAATTTGGCCATTTTCCATTAATTATAAAAATATAGTAAAGTATAAAATTTTGTTTTAAAGGTTTGTTATTTATATTTGATCTGTAATATGAAACGACATGAAAGACTGCAAGTTGCCAAATGCATGTGCTGAAATAGAACTTCTCAATATACCTTAGTTATTTGATCTATTTTTGTAAGTACGCATGTAAGATAAATGTATTGAGTATTTACAAAACTTCAAGCGTACTTGTACGCAAGACTTAATAGGAATTGAGTTTTCACATAAATATGTGCGTAATTTACGCAGATACGCAGCTTATCTGTACCTCTGCACACCATCTACCAAATGATAAACAGGAATCAGTTCTTCCTTACAGCAGCCTAGCAACACTGCAAAACATGATTCCAGTTGACTGCCATTAAACTATAATCACAAAACGACCAATTTAGTCCACTATCACAAACTTCAGATGGACATTGTTCCACAAGCACGACTCCTTTCAATTTGATCATAAATAAGAAAATTAATGTCGGGCCACTACTTGCGAAGTGTGAAACCTCTCCAGCCAACAGATGGCACTGACAATGACAGATCAGAAGATCCAGGCTGCTGTGTAGAAATCAAACATTTGTTCCTGTGTGTCAAGACATCAAGTCACAGTTAAACCTGACCTTTCAAAACCTTTCTCCTTCATAGATCAGTGGGTCACTACTTATGCTTGTAGGGGAGGTGGGTAGCCTAGTGGTTAAAGCATTCGCTCATCAAGCTGAAGATCTGGGTTCGATTCCCCACATGAATACAATGTGTGAATCCCATTTCTGGTGTCCCCGCCACAATATTGCTGGAATATTGCTAAAAGAGAATGTTTGACTGTTATTACTGATCATACTGACCAGATTATACTTCTAAAACTAAAATAATCCATTAAAGATTAAGATTAAGTAAAATCAATTCATTTCGACAGCAGCCAACATTAATTTTGCAAACCCTCTAAAGAAATATCACAAAGGACAATAAAAAAAGCCAGGTGAGCTAAAAAGTGAGTATGGGTTTAAATCACTTTTAGCAATATTCCAACACTTTCATGGCACCCATGTTTGGAATCTAACCCGGGTCTTCAGCGTGACAAGCGAACGCTTTAACCACTAGGCTACCCACTGATGGGCTAAAAAGAAATAGACATTCAGATTTGTTAGCAGATAATTTTGTACATCAACACAAACAGACACATATCACATAAAGCTACAAGAAATCTTTGAAATTCCAATAAAGTCACATCTGACACCTTCTCTGATAAACCATCAACTATCTTTCTCCCTGTACAAAGTATTGATTACAATCTATACATCATAGCCACTGAAGCCACTGAAACAGTCTCATCACCCCAGCAATTCCATTCCAGAGGTCAGAGAATATTTACGCCCGAGAAAGGGTTGGATAGAAGCCTTGGTTACAACAGCAGACAAGAAGTCTTTAACACACAATACTACCTGAACTGAAAAATAACCCTAATTGAAAACTTGTCAGAGTTAACAACTTTTTCAAACTTAATCATGATACTTAGAAAGAAGCACATAGTTTCATAACAACTTTTGTGAACATATAGTATATTTTACATAAGTCAATTTTGTATCTGACAGTGTTATCAGGATGAAAATCAATCATGTTCTATTTTTGTAAATGATTGATGTAGAATTGCCATTTGAGACATGTTTTCGTTATCTTTTTTTCTGGCAAAGGTTGGTGTTACTTGATACTGTTGTCCTAACAACTATTTTCATATTTTGAGAAATAAGCAGCTCTGTGGAGTTCCTGACATGTGTTTTGATGTACTGGCAAGTACATATATTCTGTGTTCCATGCAATGTGCAAAATAGTTTCCAAATTTTGCTAGCCAGTTAGGCTAGCTATGCCTGAAAGTTACTAGACCACAAAATAATTCTCTACCCCAAAATTTGAATGTAGAAACTAAGCAAAAGATTACAAAAATAGATGAGAATAGGATATTGTCGGCATGACATCACTAAGCTGCTAATATGATGAACATTATTATCAGGCAATAATCTTGCATGATTTAAAAGTGTGTTATAACTTAATAAGTCGAAGAGAGTGATATATTAACAAAATGACCCCATGAACAGTCGGGCCAGTGACTGTGGAGATTTACTGGACCGACTGGATATTTACTAGCCACGGGCTAGCGGGCCAGTGGCTATTTCGCACACTGGTTCCATGAGTTTAACATGCTGCCCTGAACATTATTTTAGTTGATGTGGGAGTAAAATCCAAAGATATTTAGGTGATGATTATCACTGACAACATTTGAAACAGCTAGAATCCAAACTGCCAATCGTATGTTGCCCTGATGGCCAAAGGGACACAACTCTGTACATCAAATTGTGGCTCCTTATACAACGAAACTACCCTTGCCCCTTACAAACTTATCAAAATACAAATTAACATATGATTTGCATCTTTCCAAGCTACAAAGCATTATGCTGCTTTAAAGCAAAAACACAAACAAACAAAAAATAATAAATTACAGGAACATTCTTTTATCTAGCCTGTTATCTAGCTTAGAATTCCTCTATTCCACCAAATGGACCTATTTGACATATAGATGAAAAACTGTTCTTTAAATAACCAGCCCAAAATGAAAGCGAAACATGCCAACTGTGAACTCCGAACATCACCCGACAACAGGATGCAGTGCATGGAGATGGGGGAAATTAATCACTTCACACAATGACCGTCAAAACTTCAATGTGAGCTAAAAGTCACTGCAAGCCGTAATTTGACATTTCCTGTGATTTAACATATCATTAGCTTCAGGCTAAAAAAGTTCCATAAAGTTTTTTTGCCCTGTTAGTTCAACACAATTCCTGTTGCAGTAGCAATGGTTTCCATTGAGGCTTGATGTGAAAATATATAACACTGAGCTTTGCAAAAAATATGAAGTGTGTTTTATATAATTTAGCTTACTTTAAGGTTAATCGTTAAATGTCTATCATCTCAATCTCAGGTACCTGTGAAGATCTACCAGTGAAGGTCCGGGTTAGAATGAACCTTCAGTAACCCATGCTTGTCGTAAGAGGCGACTAACGGTATCAGGTGGTCAGGCTCACTGGCTTGGTTGACACATGTCATCGGTTCCCAATTGCGTAGATCGATGCTCATGTTGTTGATCACTGGATTGTCTGGTCCAGACTTCATTATTTACAGACCGCGGCCATATAGCTGGAATATTGCTGAGTGCGGCGTAAAACTAAACTCACTCTCTCACTCACTCTGAAGATCCGGGTTAAAATTGGTCTTCAGTAACCCATGCTTCTCATAAGAGGTGACTAACGTGGTCAAACTTGCTGACTTGGTTGATACCTGTCATTGCATCCCAAACGTGTAGAACGATGCTCATGATGTTGATCACTGGATTGTCTGGTCCACACCCGCTTACTGACAGACAGCGGAGATATAGCTGAATATTTGCTGAGTGTGGTGTTAAACAACAAACCATCTATTTCAGGCAGCTATGATCCACATTTTATGGCTTTATGAAAAGCGGATGGGATTTCTGGGTACATGGTACATGCATTTCAATGTTTTTAAATAATTGTTTATATTATGTCAAATTTACTTAACCTCAGATAAAAAAATTCAAAGTCAAGGTACAACCCTGAAAGGCAATAAAGGGTTAGATTTTCTAAATTCTTAGTTGCATTAAGATAATCTTTTTATTCTGCACTCAGAAAGTAGACACAAGTAAATAGATCATATTCTCTATGGATTACTGCAGCGATGATTGTCAACTTCACCTACAAAATTAGCTTCATTTACCATGTTTCCAACAAATCAACAACCATGAAATCAATTACTCAAGGTCTTCATAAGGTCAACCATCAACCAAGATGTGCTTATCCAAACACCCCTATTGTTTGATATCTCATGCGTATCCCCTCACAAAACCTTCAATATTTGCACCCTAACCTTGGTGCCGGAGCCATTC